AAATAGGGGACAAAATAAGCACGAAATGCAAAATGATCAGCACCCAACCTCTTTGAATTTCCAAATTCCTCTGCCCTTATTTCCAGCCCATAACTACCATATTTCTCATACCACTGCCATAGGCATCCTAAAGTGATGTGAGGTGTCTCATGTCTGCACAATGACACACCACCAACCTGATCCACCTGGTTCCTTGAGCAGCAAGTATGACAACTTATAGAATTGGGCGATTGATGGATAACAGGGGAGGAATAATAAAGAAGTCGTTCAAATTCAGCAATTGGACGGCCAGTGGCCATTTGAACAGCTTCGGATGCCGATTGTGCCCTACGAGCATTATTCACTGCTTCTAGTATTCTGTTTGACTCTGCTTCAAATACATTGAGATCTTTGGATACTGCAGAATCATTGATGCAGTTCGCTACATCAAGCTTGTTATTGGCCAGATCTTCAATTGTGCTTGATTTTGGAAGCCTTCCATCAATTGCATCAGAAGAACAGGTTACGTCTTCAGAATTCTGACCCGTGCACCCTACTGCAACTTTAGAAACTAGATTTTGAGTATTGGACACCACATTCCCTTTAGCAGTGTCTTTAAGAGCCCATCTCTTAGAAGCAGCCTCATCAGAATGTTCAAGAGATGAACTGCCAGATCTAGTAGAGCTTGTCAACCCAGCATTCTTCGACCCAATTGGCATCCACTTGTGTGTAAGAGATCCAGAACTACTAGAGTTTTGCCTGATGCTTTCCGCAAGAGAAACTTCTTTCTGTACTTCTTGACTTGTTGCATTACAAAGTAAATGAGGAAGGTAGACTGGAGACTGCACCTGAAGCAGATTTGATTCACTCAAGGAATCCCATTTTCTTTGCACTGAGCTATTCTTGTTTCCTACACAGACACTTTCAAAATGATCCATTTCATTTTGACAAAGTTTCATGTTGTGAACTGATCCAGACGTCATGCATTCTATTTTGCTGCTCTGATATCCACCCCTTGGACAGCTAGGCGGAGAACAAGATCTTGAAACAAGACTTAAGGATTTCTTATCCTTCAACTGAGACGAGATATCCAATATATCATTCTGATCCATCCTGGCCTTCGCACAACCATCTAAGCCACCAATGCTGGCATGCGAACCCTTTCTGGAATAAAAATTGTATTCTTGTTTCAAAGATGGTATGGTTTTTCTTTTCAATTTCTTAGAGACCTTATCTTTTTGCTGCTTTTTATCCTCACTCTTCGAAAAGGCATTTACATCAGCAACATTAGAGGTTCTTTTAAGCAAGGGAGCCTCTCTCAAAGGGAGATCAAGCCGTGAGTAAACAGAACTTGCTTTTTTCAACTCACCAGTGCAGTCACTGGAATCATTCCTCTGGACTTTTTGCCAGACAGAATGATTGTTTTCCTTTCCTATACGAATATGCAGATTTCCATTACTTCCAAATTTAGAGACATTTGCAGTTCGCGGTGCTACTTTGTTTTGTTTACTTCTCTTGTTAGGCACAACCAATTGCATGTCATTACTGCGACAACCCTGAATACCATGCCTTGCTTCCTCAGTGTGATCATAATTGTCTACAACATCATTTAAAAATCTTTGACAAGAAAAACGTCCCTTCCCAGAACTCAAACCTGGAGGTTTAGAAATATCTATCTTGAAAATTTCCTTCTCAGCGTGTTTTTCATCATGACCAGCATTAGTACTATCACCACTGTTTGAACCAAATGAAATTGAATCCAAAACGAAGGAGTCATGCATATCAGAGTAACCTTTGGTATACATATCACTGTAACAGCTCACCTGTGTATGAATACCCTCCACCTCATCAAAGATGGGAAATCCAGAGTCTTTAAGTAGAAGCTGATTTTCAAAATTGCCAACAGAAGGAATACCAACCTCATCACTGGAAGCGGTGCATGTGTTTGGTGTTTCAGAATTCTTGGGGCCGCTATCTGGCAATGAAATTTCTGGTGCAGTTGAAGACGACACTTGTCCGTCCCCATCATTGTTACCACAGGGTTCAGAAGCTGAACTTCCATTGGCATATTCCTCAGACAACACTTCCGGTTCATTAGACACCTTCGTGCTCTGTTTTCCCTTCTTTCTACTCTTCTTTCTGGAACTTCTTTTTGCAATGCTGTTTATTTTTTTATTGCCAATGCTCATAGTTGAGGAATTAATAGAGTTAGAACCATTTGGGATGGTACTTGAGGAATCACTGCAGCCATTATGGAAAGATTTCCTGGAAAGTTCATTCCATTTAGTAGCTTTATTTGCCAAAGTCTTATTTCGAGATTGGTGGCGCACAGCTGAACCAGTGAACCTTCTACCTGTAAATGACTTGACAGAATAAGTAAAATCAAGAGGAGGCCCCTTCTGCACCTTTCGTCGATTAACCTTGAATGGATTAATTGGTGGTGGGTAAACCAGATGCAGAGTATCCATATTGACCAGAGTACCAGATACCAAGTGATTTATATTGTCAGGACATAGTGGCGGCAGTGCCACAGTTCTCCAATGTCCGTCAGGTTCACGGAAAAGCACTGAAAGGATAGGACACCTGAGAAGTTAAAATAAGTGATGAATAGACAGTCATTTCCCTGACGCTCCCATCAATCAACTCAGCTTGTCAATGAACAATAATAGATCAGATGATTCTACCTGCCATACCAAAACACTGGCCCATACTCTACTTTAATGGTAACTAGTACAGTAGTACTCTCATCATGCATGCAAAATCTCATTACGCAGATTAAACAAAATCCTATCTGAAAGGAAGTGCTAATGCAAAATCTCAGTAATTATAGCAAAAAGATAGGGACCATGTATACATGGGCATATATGCATACATGTATTATGTATTAGATGTACATATGCATTACGCATAGCCAACAAGCCTATGTAGTGTAATCGAGATATGATGATTGAGAAATATGCAAAACCATCGAAGAAACAGTGGTATAAACATACGAACTTAACAATTAATCAGAAGACAGAAAACACGTGAACTAAATCTATTGGATTAGTTTCACCATACAGCTGTGAGAAACAATCAATTAGGCAATGACAATTGAAACAACATTATTACCTACGATCAGAGTTCCTCCCTGTGACATAAGGCACTTCACAATCCTGAAAATGGTAGTAATCCAGAGAAAACTAGTCAGATAATTAAATTAAATTCATAGCAGAAAAATGAAGTATATCAAATTATTTTGCAAAATAGACACATATATTACATCTAAAGATGTTCTGAAACTCTTTTGCTCTTTCTTTGATAAGGAATATCTTCGAGTGTCTGAATTTTTCTGGATATCACTGTTAGTTCTTTGAAGGGCACAATGCATCTTTTACTGTCCCTGTCCATATCATTAGCACACAATATAAAACAGTTAATGATGGTCTGATACAAAAAGGTTTTACTGTATTCAAGATTTAAACACTTCACACTATGAACAGAAATACAGGATAAATTTTGCCGATCATCCTGGTTCTCTTTTGGGTGGGTTTGGTTCTGGTTACGAGTTCCATTTATCTACAATAATACTCTTAACACAAAACTAACACAACACTACCATAGGAAAAACAATGCATTAGTAAGTGTATCAATCTAGTCGAATCAAAAATAAGGAAGGTTGATAATCACGTAAAGGGCAGACCATATTTGAACTTTGACAAATAATTTCAAATTAGGAAATCAGGAAATCCGGAAAGGAAAGTATAATTCATACTCTACGGATAAGAACATTAAAGAAGAAGGCAAAGTACCTCAAGCTGTTGAAGATGAAGGTCCAAACAAGAACACACGTTGATTCCCTTTGATCATCAAACAAGTAGAAGGCATTGGTTCATAACATACAAGCTGACAACCAAACATAGGTCACATTCACCACTGCTACAAGTGCCCGTTTAAACAAAAGGATTGAAATTTAAGGCACAAATACAAAGATACATAAAAGAAAGAAACCAGAGAAAATAGAAACTACAATGGCTTGCTCACAATCCTCAGACTAAAATTCTATCTACCAGTCAAAAGAAACTCACTTATCAAATTTAGACAGAAACCCAAATTACCAACTAACAAAACCCAGCTAAATTTATCCAACAAAATTCCGGGAACCAAAAGAAAGGGAAATAGCCTGCATGGTTATTTTTTGCTCCTTGAGCACCCTGAAAATTTCCCTACAAAGACAATTCAAAAAATGGAATTGACTAACTTGAATCGTTGATTAGAAATCTAGTACTAAATTTGACAAGAACCCAAAAATCAAAATCACCGAAAAACTATATATTTTTTTTTAAAGATCGCAGAAAAAGCTCCCCAAATTTAGCTGTGAGGTTTAGAAAAACAAGAGTGTATAGCAACAGCTAAAATAACCGATTTTCCCAATTGATAAAACATAAAAAATACTAGAGGCACCATAGCCTAACACGTTGAAAGTACACACTTTTCCAATTGATATGCTAAAAAAAAAGGGGCTTTTAGTGCCCATAGCCTAGCAAACAAAATTGGAGATGGAGGCCAGTCACCAGCCTCTATATTTGGAGTCTATAATTATGACTACTTAAGCAGCAAACTTTATCTCTTTTTTTTAGAGTGGTGATTTTCCCACTCCAATTTTATTCACTTACACTCCATTTTATAACTAAAAAATGAGTGTAAGTGGATAAAAAGGGAGTGAGGAAATCATTACCCTTTTTTTAATATTTAAAACATACATTTGTGTATTTTATCAAAAAATATATATAAAACTTCTTCTTTTTTGTGTCATAAATATATATAAATCTTCATGCTTTAACATTGTTCATTGAGTTGATGAAGAGAGTCTTGAAAATTCACATACCATGGTGAGCTCTTTTTCTTTGTATCAATGGGCCTCTTTGAAAAGACTTGATGCTATTTTTCAGTGGTTAACAGACCACTTGGCGGCAAGAAAATTTACCTTTTGTTTTACTCGTGTGATCGACAGAAAAAAAAGAAGAAGAATCTTTTACTCATGTTTTTGGTCGAACGCAAAAGGAAAAGAAAAATAAAAACTCAAAAGACGACAAAAATTGCGTCAGAAAAAGAGAGCAGATAGCACGAATGAAATGAAAAATGTTGTGCAGTCGCAGCTTCCCCATTCCTCCGATTAACAAAGTCACCACCGTCATCACCCAACACAACATACACAATCACAAACGCCTCGACATTCTCAGACGGTTTCAGTCTCATCAGACTCGCACAATGGAAGTGGAGGCCAACACCAACAGCTCCCATACGAGGGCGGGGGGGTTGGACTTCCTGACAAAGAAGCCCTACACTCCTCCTTCCTGGGCATCCCATATCAACCCCATCCCTTCTCATATCTTCTCTCTCGGACACGTACGATCAAATTCTAACCCTCATCTTCTTCAATTTTTCTACATGATTATGATTTCTGTTTGTATTGATCAGCTATTGCTTTGTGTTTGTTATCGCTAATCACTTGTCAGCTTCCAACTCCAATTCACAAATGGAATCTTCCTAATTTGCCCACCAATACTGAAGTCTGGTTGAAGGTATTTCCTTTCTCTCATTTTTCTCTTATGTTTTCTCTTTCTCCTCACTTATATTTGCTTTCATATAGAAAAATCCCAAAAATCCCATTTGGGTTTTGTCAAATGTTTGGTATTGTCGACTGTCTGTTCCTTGTTGAGCTCCCTTATAGACTGATCAATTCTGAAACTTCCACTTAATCAAAAGTTGAGACCTTTAAATGTGAAGTAGTAAAATTTCGTACGCAATGTCTCTTTTTTAAACCTTCAATAAGCTTTAAGTCGTTGAATTGTTGCTTTGGTTTTGTGTTTTCACTTTCCTGGTTTACACTGAGAAATATTTGCAAATATCATATCTAGCGTGATGATCTTTCGGGAATGCAACTGAGTGGTAACAAAGTCAGAAAATTGGAATTCTTGATGGCGGACGCCGTAGCAAAGGGTGCTGACTGTATCATAACGATAGGGGGCATCCAAAGTAACCACTGTCGTGCAACTGCAGTGGCTGCCAAGTATCTCAATCTTGACTGTTATCTCATTCTACGTACCTCTAAGGTGAATTTCCATCTCTCAGTTTTAGCACTTTTTTCCCCATCTCTTTGCTTAATGCCTCATGATGCACTGCAGGTTCTCGTGGACCAAGATCCTGGACTGACAGGCAATCTCCTTGTTGAACGTCTAGTTGGAGCTCATGTTGAACTAATTTCAAAAGAAGAGTATGCAAAATGTGGCAGTGGGGTGTGTTAGTTTTGCTTTTCCTTTGAATTAACCATGTATTTTTTAATGTTTATCAAGTAATATTTAATTAAACACACATTGTCTTATGGTGCGTTTGGATGAGGGAAATAAACTTGGGATTTTGACAAAAGTTGGAATTTCTAAATTGACATGAACCAATTCCCGTGTTTAGATAAAAAAAACATAGAAATTTAGAAATTCCGCGTGGGAAAAAACATGGAATTTGGAGATCATAAATCCCAACTTTAAATTCCATCTAAAAGTCGTCATTTCTAAAATCCCAAGAGAGATTGAGTTTTTAAAAAGATAACTTTTCAAATAAAGGTTAAATTCCGTGTTTTAAATCCGTCACCCAAACAAGAAACTTTACAAATTCTAGAACATTAATTTCCGTCATTTAAATTTCCGTCATTTATGAAATCCTTTGTATTTTTAAATTTCCTCATCCAAACACACTGTTATAGTTTTTTGAATGTTCCTCCTTTAGTCTTTTTCGCAATGTTACTGTCTCTGGTTGAAGTCTGAAGTTGAAACACCGATCTCTGGCTAAGTAATTCTTTTAAGACGCATTTTTTATAAACTGCATATCAAGTGATATTTTTGGTTTAAATGGACAGTGTCTGAACAGATAGGGGAAAAAAACCATACAGCCAACTATCTTACTGTTCTACCAACATACTTTTTTTTTTGGTAGAGAACATGCATTTTTTATACTAATGAATTTATAGATTACCTTTGCTAAATCTCTAGTGATTTGGGTTCATATATTCACTTTGGTCTCAGGCTCTTACTAATCTCTTAAAAGAAAGACTGCTAAAAGAAGGAAGAAGGCCATATGTTATTCCTGTTGGTGGATCAAACTCCCTAGGAGCCTGGTGAGATTGGGTTTGCCTTTCTATTGAAATGTGCATAAACTGTCTGTTTAATAATAATTTGTTTCTGTGCACATTAACTGCTGTATTTTTCCCTCCATCTCCTTTCTATCTGCCATATATTTTTTAAGTTTTCATTTTGGGTTCCTAGAATTTGATGCAATTTCTTTGCTTCACAGTGGAAATGAGAAGTATTTCCTATTTTCCAACCCGAAGTTTTCTAGTTTTCTTGACTTTTTAAAGCTCTAATCTGTATTGGAAATATGGTATCTGGTACCTGTTCTTCACTTTAATCCATCATAACTCGTGTCATATGGTATAAACCTAATGGTTGGGGTCTTCAAAATGAGAAGGGAGAAGGGAGGGGTGAGGGTTGTGAGGTTTCAGTTTCCTGTTCAAAGTTGATTATGACGGCTTCCATTTCTTTTTTGTTGATATTATCACATTTGCGTAATGTTTTTTATATATTCAGGGGGTATATTGAAGCAATTCAAGAGATTGAGGAGCAGCTTCAGAGTGGGACCGACAAAGTAAAGTTTGATGATATTGTTGTTGCTTGTGGCAGGTGCTTTTCTATGCCATCTTATTTTGAGTTGATATAACAAGTCCTGCATGCCTGCCATATGTTACAAATTTTTTCATGTCCTTTATGTATGGATCTTGAGATATGGAATTGTCAGTTTTGATACGAGGAAGTAGGATCCTTGAATCGAAACCATTTGTTTTTTGTCTACTCAGCCTTGTTTTCGTATTTGACAGCTCTCACTTTCCTTTTGTTGTGAGAAGTTTTGGACTTCACTATTATTTTATTTTTTGGATTTCTGTGTCTGAATATTGATTAAGAATTCAGAGCTAAAGTTACTTTACCTCTCACTCTCTCTCTCTCTCTCTCTTGGAGTATTAGCAAATTTTTTTTTTCACGAAACCAAACTTTTCTATAATCTACAAATGAAAACTGAATTATATCTTACATGTTGTTTACAACGAGTATAATACTGTAACATAATAGAATAAGTTTATGGTGATCGTGATTATTATCTGTAATGTTTTCATGTAATGGATTTCCAGTGGGGGTACAATTGCTGGTTTGGCATTGGGCTCTTGGCTGAGTTCGTTGAAGGCAAAAGTATGTCATTGGATTCCTTTCTGTAGATAATTAATTTGCTGCTCTTGACATGTCATGTAATTATTTGTTCCTTTTGCTCTGCAGATCCGTGCCTTTTCTGTCTGTGATGACCCTGATTACTTCTACGACTATGTTCAAGGCCTACTTGATGGACTTGAGGCAGGCGTTGATTCACGTGATATTGTTAACATTCAAAATGTGAGGGTCAAAGCAGATTAGACACTATATTGTTAGCATTGAACACTTGATTTATGTTGCTTTGTACTACATGTTCTTTTAGGGTTGATCTTACGGTAGTTTGCCCACACTATACAAGTTGTACATGCGCATCCTCTACAGAAAAATGAAATCCTAGAATGGAAAATCATGGGTTGTAAATTGTAACTATTCATATGTTACAATTATGAGATGATGTGCATATTGTTTTACACACAATGTATATGCTGACCAATTGTAAGTAATTATATATTGTAAACACCAAAAAAGGATGTAAATGTATTATGGTTTGACAGGCCAAAGGTCTGGGCTATGCAATAAACACGTCTGAGGAGCTTAAGTTTGTCATGGAGATAGCTGCGACCACTGGGATTGTTCTGGATCCAGTTTACAGGTTCTGTTTTATTTCCACAACTCTTTGTTTATGTTTCCATCTTTATGTCATCACTTCCCTTTAGGAGTATAAATGGTTAAATTATTCATAGTTAATCCTGAAGTATGATCTGCTACTCTCTCTCTCTCTCTCTCTCTCTCTCTCTCTCTCTCTCACACAGTGGCTTTTCTCGTCTGCCGAATAATGGGATCACTGATTTATGATGTATTTCCTTTTTTAGTGGCAAAGCTGCTTATGGAATGTTGAAAGACATGGCTGAGAATCCAAAGAAGTGGGAAGGAAGAAAGATCCTCTTCATACACACAGGTGGGTTACTTGGGTTGTTTGACAAGGTAGAGCAGATGGCTCCATTGTTGGGAAATTGGAGTCGGATGGATGTCCCAGAATCTGTTCCCCGGAGCGATGGTATCGGGAAAATGTTCTAGTGTCGAAATAAAGCAAAGAAAAGAGTCCAGTGCTCTATTAAAAGAGATGAGATCAAAATCCTCAATCAGTGTATACTGTACTGATGATGCATAAGAAACGGTCTCATATCAAATAAGATAATTACAGGAGGTCTGTATTTCGTTGTGCTTTAATGGTGTATGGTTTGTGAAAATGGATGTATAATTGTTGTTTATGTTCTAAGTGTAAGAAAAATAAGTAGCCACGCGGCTATGCTCTTTAAATATATAAGAATATTTTAAAAGTCCGCGGCTATACTTCACAAAATGGTTTTTTCTTATAGCCTTTTTTAATTACTTTAATTAATAATTATGTTTTAATTATTATTTCTTTAGTAAATACTTAGTATTTAAATATTTTACTAATTTCATAAAATACTTAATAAATAGTAATTAATTATTTTGTGGACTTTGTTTTTTCTTTTTTTAAACCTTGTCAACAAAGATAACTTATACTTCTCTTGCCTATTGTAATTTGATCTATATTAAGACAAATTAAAATTCTATCACAATCTTTCATAAATAGGTATGATCGTAAAATTGTGATAGTGAATTACATATTATTTTTTAATAAACTTTAGCAATTATATTTATCAAAATTAATTAAAATCTACTTTACAAAATTCCTAAATAAACAAATGAAATTGCCCAAATCATCATTGAAATGGAGAAAAACAGAGAAGAAGATGAGAGCATGTACCTATAATTGGTGATTGAAACACTCAAAACAATCGAGCAATTAATTTATTACCATTTATTATTTCTTATGAAAGGGTCTTTTTGCGTTCCATACCTTCCAAGTATATACGCATCAGGTTCAACCCACAATACCATATGGTATTCAATTCAATAAAATTTAAAACAAGTACAAGCAACTAGAACAAATGCCATTGACTTAAATGCTATGGAGGCCGGCATCTTTCCCTTGTCCTTCCTTAGATAAAGTGCTTGGTACAAAGGTATGTTGATGAGGATCAGTACCCCACACGGAAGAATTTGCAAAGCCATTGTCTCACGAACTTGTGCTATGCCCTTTGATCCAGTGGTTGCATCCTTCACAAACTCAGCAAAGCAGTACAAATTGAACAATGCAAGTGTTGCCAATATGGTGAGCATTGGAGAAGAGGCCCCAAATTCCATAATCTCTTTCTCATATCGCTGCGACACATCTTCATCGGGCACCGTGGCTGTTATGGCAAATGCTGAATCAGTGTATCCCAGGAAGTATAAAATGGTATCAACGAAGGCAAAGAGGTAAGAGCTTGTTCTCTTATACAGCCACATTCGTTGGTCATTCCACCAACCTAAGATTGTGCCATCAGACCACAGAAACTCCACAAAGCTCCAAGTATACTTGCCAATGATCACATATGCAAATGGTATGAGCCATGGACTTGAGATCTAGATTCACGAACAAAACCCATCAGACGTTGAGAAATATACTATTTGGGCGGCTACGTTATAAACCACATGTCTGATAGAGACGAGGGGAGACTTACTTATGTAAATAGCCATGTCTCATGTTTATTAGTGACGTGACATATATTGTGACAAATCAATTATCACTGAGACACAAGACCATTTATGTTGAAGAAATTTAACAATTTATACCTGTGGAAATAAGGAAATGCCCTTGAGGAGGTAAAGTGAAGGGACAATCGAGTAAAATAGGGTTGCCCAGCAATTGGAAGCCCAGCAGCAGACAATACAATATCCAAGTTGAAGGGCCAAACTTATCTTTCCATGACCATACCAAGCCGGACTGTACTTAGAAAGTAAAATCTGAAGAGAACCTTCTGACAATCTCTTATGCTGCTCAAGTGTGTGAGGCAGTGTGGTTGGAGCCAATCCTAAGAAAGCTTTTCTTGTTGGGTTGCAATACACCAATTTCCATCCACGGCATTGAATCGATAGCCCTGTTATCACATCTTCAACTGGACATCCATATTTCAATCCCATCTGCAAATTTTTCAAGATTCATAGATATATCAAGTTCCTCAAATTAATTATGTGCACTTGTTCTGGCACAGACTTGGAAAAAAAAAGAGAGAAAGTAGACCTCTTTTCCCTATTCAGTGTTCTGTTCAAATGTACAGCTTGCAAGACTCTTTGAATTTTCTTCCAATTCATGAATGCCACTTTCTTCTCTTTTTCTGCTGATCTCCCACTTCATATCACTCTTAGATCCCTTGATGAAGTTCCTTCCACAAAGAGTATCTCTTCTGTGAAAGCATCCACTTCCAATGTATAATGGGCCCTCATAACCATCCGAACCATGCATTTCCACCTTCATATTTCAATACCCATCACATATATAGAATTCCAAACATGTAGGCAAAAGATTTATAATAATCGAAAATTTTGATTCCAATGATATATGTATACACTCACCTCGCTAATTATTCTAAAGGAACTATATAATTCGTTCTTAGTAAGGTTTTGGAAATTCTGTCGGAACTGTACGTATGCAACCTCACGACCTTTCCCTTCATCCATTAAGAAACAAAGTGCGTCTCTTATGGCCTTGGAGTTGTTAGAATACATGTCGCAGTCTACATTAAGAATGACATTCCCATTGCTAATGTTTGCAGATACCCTGATCTGCACAAAGGATGACATAATGATTCATTATGAACAAACAATGAATATATATAAGATGAAATTATTTGCAACATCAAACATGTAAATATCTTTTTTCTGAATACTTCAGCTTGTAAAAAAAATGTTACCAAATAAAGTAAAATTACCAGAGCATTCATAGCACCGACTTTAAAGTTATGGTGATACTGGGGTCTCTTCTCTCGAGGCAAATACACCGAAGTTGGCAACCCACACCCTTAAACATCAGCTGCATTGGGGTCTCTCCCATCAATTGCTATTTGAGAAAATAAAAAAAATTGATCAAACACCAGTTAAATATCAGTAACCCTGACTTGCAGTTTATGGTAAACTATCATACTTGAAGAATGGTGTCATGGTCACGTCGAGATTTATATGTATCCCGCTGAGAAAAGCCTTTTGTTTTGATGGTACTTCTTCTAAAAGAAATAGTACCCGCTATACTCTCTTTCCAACTTGAATTTTAAAACAGATCAGACCTCCCTCTCTCCTTCACTCTCTCACCCCGATTGTTTCTCTCTCTTCTCTCTCTCCCGTGACGCCGCCACTTTCACCGGCGAGATCGTCACCGTCCGGAGACCAAATTCAACGAAATTAGTCCTAGAATTCTTGTCTCTCTCTCCTTAACCCAACCCAGTATTTTTCGTAGCCCAAAACCATCGGGACAGTCAACGGTATCGACTGGAAGTTTCGGCAGAAACCTCCCTCATCGCTGGCGACGTTTCCGGCCACCTCAGGTCGCGCCACCACTCGGATCAGGTATCTCGCTCCTCCCTCTTGCTTTCCCGTAGGTCGCGCGACAGTAATGGTGGCTGTCGCCGCCGTTTCGAGGCCAAGAATTTCCGGCCAAACCCGCTTTGTTCCGGTCAGTTTTTGTCCGTGGTCCAAGAACAAAAGTTGATCCCCTAGGTAGTCTGATTATAATGGTATAGGTATTGATCGGCGATTTGGAGTTTTCCGGTCGCCAGAATTTTCTCAAGGCACCAAGGCACTGCCAGCGGCGAGTGGCGGCGGGTGGACCACTTTGTGGCTGCCCATTATGTTCTAAAATGTTCCCCTTGTCGTCATGAGCACTACGGTATGCTCAGATTTGGAATTGGTTACCGTTTGACAGTCAAATGGATATTGTATCTATTATGTGATATCCATGTTTGATAGGTTTGGATCGTTCGATCGGTCTCAATTTCAAATATATTGTTCTTTGTACCTCTAGGATCGTATAGGAACTTGTGGATTAAGAATCGGAGTCCCGGATACTCCGAATCAATGATTTTAGGGTTAGGCGAAGTAATCGCCGTCCGATTTTGTAATTGGCTTAGTTCCGACCGCTCGATCGAAACCAAACCTTCGGGACTTGTTTAGTAGACTTTGTTGGACTTATAGGAATTTCGACCAAACCTTCGGGACTTGTATTATTCGAGTTAAGAACATTGCTGGTTTTGTTGCAAACCATTTGAAGGCCGGGGGCCTATTATGCAATTGAATGTTGTTAACTTGTGCATGCTGCCAGTTGGTGTTTTAAAATGTGTTTTTAACAGGTTGAAAAATTTGGGGAAAAGTCAAATTTTCCAGGGAGACTCTGCCAAATTTTGGGCAGAAAGTCTTGTGCCCTTTTTCCTTAATTTGGAAAAGAGGCTAAATTTTTAGTATGTGGGCCCGGCATCGGTGTGATGTCGGAATTTCCACAGGAATCGTCTTGGGTTCCGAGGAATTCGGGGCGGGTCCTGTCAACGCGTATTAATTAAGTCCGTTTATTCTCTCGAATAGGTACTCTTGCTTCGCGTATTCCAGAGAAAGAGCTCTCTCAAGATTGATTGAGCAGCGTTGGACATTGTACCCATCTATAGCTGATTGAACCAAATACTGCATTAAATGGACAACAGAACGTTAAAATATTACAAATGATTTACATATGTATATTCATAGCAATTAAGAAAAATAGATTCCATTAACAATTGAATAGAAGAAAACTTGCCCCTGTATCATCAAACACGTCTTCTTGGGTGGCACTACCGTCAAATATCCGATCATATGTATGCTATTTAAGTTCACCTTTATGTGGATGTGTAATCGTGAACTCATCAACACTTGTAGTAGCACCTCATTCTTCATCTGCAATCTCCTTTTCAGTCAAAGGTCTTAATCGAGACAAAGACCTTTGATTCGAGAGGAGATTGCAGACGAAGAATGATGTGCTACTATAAGTGTTGATGAGTTCACGATTACACATCCACATAGAAGTGAACTTAAACATCATACATATGATCGGATATTTGACGGTAGTGCCACCCAAGAAGACGTGTTTGATGATACAGGGGCAAGTTTTCTCTATTCAATTGTTAATGGAATCTATTTTTCTTAATTGCTATGAATATACATATGTAAATCATTTGTAATATTTTAACTTTTTGTTTTCAATTTAATGCAGTATTTTGTTCAATCAGCTGTAGATGGTACAATGTGTGCATATGGGCAAACGGGTTCTACATATACCTTTATGGTTCAGAAACTAATCATGGACTCATTCCACGGGCAACTACAGAACTTCTTAAAATAATGAGCCGACACAGCAACAAATTCTCATTTTCGTTGAAGGTATGTGTCGTTGGTTCTCTATAATGATAATTTGTTGCCAGTCAATTTTCTTTTGTCAAATATTTTAAATGAATGCATATTTGGTTTATATATATAGATGTTGATTGATGACATGCACAATTCATTAGTGTAAGTCATGACCAATGTCTAGACTTGTTCTGTGTTGATGCATGCATAATAAACATTTCTTGATCATGCATATTATGCTGTGTGGGTATGCTGCGAAAAGTTTGCGAGGTATTTTGAGGTTGACCTCAAGGAGGTGAAGTTGTCAGAGGGATACTATGTAATGGACCCTGTGAAAGCAGTTGAGATGGTGGATGAGAACACTATCTGTGTTGCAGCTATTCTAGGATCAACCCTCACGGGAGAGTTTGAAGATGTGAAGCTCCTCAATGATCTCCTTACTCAAAAGAACAAAGAGAAGGGCTGGGATACTCCCATTCATGTTGACGCTGCAAGCGGTGGCTTTATAGCTCCATTTCTTTATCCTGATCTTGAGTGGGATTTCTGTTTGCCCTTAGTCAAGACCCTTTCATAAGAAATAATAAATTGCATGTCTGACATATATGTAATATGTTCTGTTTCAAAATTTTGAGATTTTATTTCTTTTACTCTATTTTTTGTCTTTTAATGTTATTTTCCCCATGGTTGACCAATAATTACTTTCTTATGTTCTCTTTCTGGTTCCTGCTTGCTTTCTCGAACTGTCTTAATAACTAAATTCTTGGAATTCTAGCTCTGTTTCCAGCTTTTGGAGGTTTGCTATTTGGGTATGACAGTGCTTCGCTTGTAGTGGTTTTTTTTTTTTTTTTTCTATTGTTTTGATGCTCATTTATTTAATACGATCAAGTTGTTATATTTTGAATCTTAATTTGCTCCTGTGGCATTTGCAAACTTGCGGTCTGTCTCCAAAAGTTCACCAAGCATTTATCAACAATCACAAATTACATTATTTTGATGCAGGTTAGCAGTTCCCTCTTTGGAGCTCTTTTGGTTCCCTCCTTGTCTACTGAACTGCTGATTTCCTTGGTGTGCATTTTGCTTTGCATATGTACTTTATCACGTCGTGTATTGCGATTTTTGTAGTAGTGTTAAAGTGGGGCAATAAGCAAACCACCCTGCCAGACAATCCTGGCTCCGCCCCTGGGTCCCATAACTAGAACTGACCTTAGATAAACTTCCTAGGGGCATGTTGGGATTGGAGGTGTTAGGCCCCATGTGTTTGGCCTTCACATATGTTATATCATATGGATCTTTGGGAATTACAGGAATAATAGACCTTCATATACCTTTTTTTTTTTGTCTGAACCACGAGGTGGTCCTGGATGGGCCCCAACTATGGGTGGCACCTTGAAGTCTTAACCACAACCCAGACTAATCCCCGATCACACCGGGTCAGCCCATAAGGGGTATAGACCTTCATATACCTTTTATGTTTCCAGGGAATATTGCATAAATTACGTTTGCCTTCCAAAATGCTTTAACTTACATACTCTATATGTTCTAGTCGGTCAAGAGTTATATAGCTTAAACTATTGATGAGTGTTTGAATTGGTATTATTGGGTATAAATTCAATACTTTAGAATGAATATCTCCTCACGCACCCCCAACACCTAAATATTGTAATAGAAGAAGATTATTTTTAGTGTTGTCACGTATTTTGTTTCCTTTAGACGGGTATTATTCATTCTGAATCTCTCTCTCTCTCTCTCTCTCTCTCTCTCTCTCTCTCTCTCTCTCGCAGAAAAGTTTGTTCATTAACAGTACTGCAGAGAAGATTCAGAATTGAAATATGTCCGGTGGCCCTGGTCTTGAGTCATTTGTTGATCGTATGGAAATTCTCGACTATCCATTATTACTTCTATCAAATATCAATGTTGTTGATTACTATGCATGAATTTAGTTTTTGTATCCTATACCCAAAGTTTTTACCCTTTTAAGGCAGGGCGTGAGCCTAGGCATTATGCTGTGAGCATTTCAGATCTCTCTCTCTAACTATTTAAAGCATTTCTATGTGCAGAAACAATTTCAGTTATCACAAATGATGGAAGGAATATTGTGGTATATTATACACTAATACTCTAATGCACCTTTTACTTATTGATCGAATTAGTTTTATTGACCTTTTTTGTTTGTTTCTAATTCAGGGAGTCTTGAAAGGCTTTGACCAAGCTACGAATATCATTCTCGATGAATCTCATGAATGTGTTTTCTCTACAAAGGTTTGCATCTTCACTGTAACATTTGTTATTTTCCTCAGGACATTCAGTAGCTTAAGTTTTAATTGGTGCTACTGTGTTTCCTCTCTACTGCCTGACACCCTGCTCATGGGGGTATTGTTGCCAAAGTACTATATACAAAACATGTACTCGTTTTATTGTCCCACTGACACTGCGGTAACTGCTTGTTATTTCTGACTGGCAGGAGGGTGTTCAGCAACTCGTGTTGGGGTTGTATATAATCAGAGGTGACAACATGTAAGTGTCAAGACTTTATTCTATTTACATTAGTTTCCCATTGGTTGCGGGAAGTGAATTGGATTGAATTAGGCTTTCTACTTCCTATAAAGTTATATGTATCCTCCAATTGTTGCAGAAGCATTGTTGGCGAACTAGATGCAGATCTTGATTCTACTATTGACTGGTCGAATATGAGAGCTTATCCCCTCAAGCCTGTCATCCACTGATTCAGCATGAAAGCCATGGAGCGGTTGTGGACTTGATAGGTTTTGACCTACCAAATAAATGTCATAGCATATGAGTGATTCAATGAAGCAGATAGGTATACAATGATGGGAATCCGGGTTTGCTATATCCATGCATAATAGGTTTCAAAGGTGTTTCCCAGTATCATTTTCTTGAACACTGATTCAATGAAGCAGAATTATCAGCATGAAGGCGAGATGTTGCAGAAGGCGAGATGCTCTTAGAGGGTGTCTTTCAGGTTAGCTAACGTTCTTTTATTGTCTTTACTCTTAAAAAGAAATTGCACATCCTTTTACTAGAATTTTGTTTAGAAATGCCAATATTTTATATCTTATAATTCCCATGGAAGAAAATTTTCCCTTTTTTTTTCTAAGAACTACTTTTTCTTCTCCTAATATGAGGTTGGATCAATATATCATAAATTCATAATATGTTAATCCCTTTAGCTAATCCAGAGCAGATCAGTATATATAAAAAGTAAATCAAGTGAAGTTGCCATGAGATTGTGTCAGGCATCAGGTTCCTAACTTTGGATCAATGTGTATGTATGAGATGTAAACATTTAACTTATGAAGTTAATCTTTAAAGAGATCCCAACACTTACTTTTTGTGAAGGTGTTTAATTGCCGATTTCCTCGAGGACAGAGATAAGTCACTCCAATTTCTTGCAGGACATGACTCTTTTGGTAGTGGTACACTAACAGAACAGGAGACGGTATCCTAAACTTGCTTTTTGGTGATATTCAAAATTGTCTAATTGTTCAACTTTATAGACTAGCCAATTATTACGAATGTATAGTTTCCTATACACTTCAAACAGCTGAGACTTGCAAAGTTGGAAAGAGATGCAGTTAATGGGAATGTTGTCATACTGTCTGACATTTGGCTAGACAATGAAGAGGTTATTCTTCTCTCTCTTGTAAAAGATGGTTATTAACTTCTTTTGTTTCTCAGAGTATTGACATTAATTGATAGTTCTTTTCTTATTTGAGAAGGCTATGGGAAAGCTGGAGAGAGTCCTAGATGCTTTTGAGAATGAGGACTTTGTACCGTGCTTATTTGTATTCATGGGGAATTTTTGTTCTCATCCATGTAATCTTGGTTTCCACTCCTCCAATCTCAGGTGAGGAATATTTTGATAAGATTTATTTTGTTGGCCGAAACAGTCTTTTCTTTCTTACATAAGTAACAGTAATAGTGAACAAACTAGATGTGCAGGTCGCAGTTTGGCAAGCTAGGGCAAATGAATGCAGCCCATCCACGGCTAAAAGAGGGTAGTTGTTTTCTATTTATCCCAAGTCCCGATGATGCAGGTATATCACACTTGCTTCACAAATAACATTCCATGTGTTTTATGTTTTAGAAACAGATACAGACGCTGCAATTAGATATGGATCAAAGCCCTTCAACCAGTAAGATAGCTCTAATTTGTTCCAAAAGAACTAGAAAACTAGATCATTCATTCCTCTGTTTTGCTAATTTATTTTTTTTGTTTTTGCTGTGAAATAATAGTACCTAATTGAACTGAAATTTGATATAGAATGAAAATAATCTGCAAATTAAAGCCGAGGAAAGAAATTTAACCATATAAGACTACACTCTATATAGCCTAAAATACAAAAGCATTTTCTGAAATAACTTTGCAGCTGCTACACAACATCAAGCCTTTGACAAAATCATAAACATTAGCCATTGACACTATCCTCCTAAGCCAATTACAACCTTTTTCATCCATAGTAGAATCACAAAAAGAGATCATCAGGACCCCAACACATAGTAGCAACTAGAACAGAACCAATCTTGCATGCTTCCTTTTCTTGCATTTGTTCCAAATCCTTTTCTTCTCCTCTCATGCTTGCTTGCTGTTTCCAATATGCAATCAACTTTTTCAGTCGCACGGTCTCTTCTGAAGAAACAGTTTTGGTTGGATCATTCACAATCAATCGAACTCTTGATGCGAACCTGAATTAGCATAAAGGTGTGAAAGAAAAATTTCAAACAAAAATATCACACTTAACCAAGATTTCAGTCAAAGCCAATCAACTACAAACTAATTGAATAGATAAACATAGTTATATAATATCAAAATGCCACTAAGAACAATAGAACTCACATTAGAGAACAGTATGTCTCATCCACATTTGATTCGGCAGGAGAAACGTTAATGAACATTATCGTCTTGGCGTTACCACCAAGTGGATCACTCATCAACATCGTCAGTTTATCGTTCCTGTAGGGTATGTGTTGATTACGTTGAGACAAAGCTTTGATAACATCTCAGAGTGCTGGAAGTGATTTATTAAAGCTTTGACGACTTATTTCTTTCCGAACCAGCAAGATCCACGAAACTTAGCTACACATGAAGGGAAAGACATTATGAGCTTCACTTGAAACACAAAACCATGCAGGCTCTTCAGGCAGTGAACTTAAAGAAGCTCAGAGCTTTAATAAATCACTTTCAGCACTTGGAGATGTTATCTAAGATTTGTCTCAACGTAATCAACACATACCCTACAGGAACGATAAATTGACGATGTTGATGAGTGATTCACTTGGTGGTAACACCAAGATGCTAATGTTCATTAATGTTTCTCCTGCCGAATCAAATGTGGATGAGACATATTGTTCTCTAATGTAAGTTCTATTGTTCTTAGTGGCATTTTGATATTATATAACTATGTTTATCTATTCAATTACTTTGTAGTTGATTGGCTTTGACTGGAATCTTGGTTAAGTGTGATATTTTTGTTTGAAAATTTTCATTCACAAGTTTATGCTAATTCTAGTTTGCATAAAGAGTTCGATTGATTTTGAATGATCCAACCAAAAATGTTTCTTCAGAAGAGATCATGCGACTAAAAAAGTTGGTTGCATATTGGAAAGAGCAAGCATGAGAGGAGACGAAGAGGATTTGGAAGAAATACAAGAAAAGGGAGCATGCTAGATTGGTTATATTCTAGTTGCTATTATGAGTTGGGGTCCTAATGATCTCTTTTTGTGATTCTACTGTAGATGAAAAAGGTTGTAATTGGCCTAGGAGGATAGCGTCAATGGCTAATGTTTATGGTTTTGTCAAAGGCTTGATGTTGTGTAGCAGTTGCAAGGTTATATCAGAAAATGCTTTTGTATTTTAGGCTTTATAGAGCGTAGTCTTATATGGTTAAATTTCTTTCCTCTGCTTTAATTTGTAGATTATTTTCATTATATATCAAATTTCAGTTCAATTTGGTAGCAAAAAAAAAATTAGCAAAACAGGGGAATGATCTTGTTTTCTAGTTCTTTTGGAACAAATTAGAGCAATCTTATTTGGTTGAAGGGCTTTGATCCATATCTAATTGCAGCGTCTGTATCTGTTTCTGAAACAGATCTCCAAACATAAAACACATGAAATGTTATTTGTGAAGCCAAGGCTATACCCATACAACAGATCTCCAAGCTGCTGCCCACACCAGTGCTCTTTGGGCTGTCCAGGTCAATCAATCCGTCTCTCATTTCTTCTTCACCTTCGATTGTCCATGGCCTCTATTAGATCGCGCCGTTTTTATGTTCGAAATACTGATATCTATGTGTTAGCGGCTATACTAAATTTGGTCTGCTTATACACATTTCCTGGGTGTTGCCCCAATATTTTGGAGACACTCGTAGATTTATCCAATTATACACCTGGTTATTTTTTTTTATTTTTAAAATCAAGGGAGCCTAGAGGAGCTGGAAATGCATATAAAAATTCTGGCGTCTGTATATTTAGATAAATGGTGTTGGAGCTATCTTGGCTGTGATATTGGATTGAATCATATATTTTACATCCCTCGTTGATATAAATGGCGTCCTCATGGAAATTTCAACAATTTGCGAAAGAAAAGGACATGGCAAATTGACAAAGTAATTTTGGATCCAAGCATACTATTATCATCTGGGGGGAAAAAAAGATCAAGGCATTTGAATAAGTGCGCTCACTGTACTCGATTTTTTCTCTCCACTAAAACGAGCTTGAGCATTTTGTTATGCTTTGAAAATAATTAGCTGTAAAGTAAAGCAGCTTCATATTCGGTAATACAATTATTTTAAAGTGTTAGTTCAAAAAACCACTGACAAAATCGTTTGGTAAATTTTAATATAAAAGAGTTTAGGGTCATCTTTGTTTCTTTTGAAAGCAGCTTTGAAAAATAATCCACGACCTGTTTTTAAAAGCTACTGTTAAAAGGCTACTGTTTTTAAAAGAGATTTTCTATTTAAATCCCATACTTCTCGTAGTTCACCCCATGTTTTAAGTTCACCCCATCTTTTAATTTAAATTTTCTCAATTTCTAAGAAAACCCCACTATCTTCCCAAACTACCCTTAAATACACCCCAAACTGAAAAAATAAGAAATAAAAGAGATTTTCTATTTAAACCCTATAATTTTCTTTGTTCCCAGCAAAAAAAACACAAATAATTAGAACCATAAACCCGAAATTTAATACTTTCTAGAGAAAAAGAACAACTTTACCTCTATCGAAGAACTGTAACTGGAATTCCAATACTTGGGTATTGTTGAGTTGATAATCAACAAGCTTTTCCATCAACTCCCATGCATATTTAAAGAGGTAGGCTCGTCAATTTTCTATGTCTTTAAAAGAGGAGTAATTTGGCAATAGGATGTAGAGGAGTTTGTATTTTTCTAAAACTTGATATGAAGAGTGGTGGGTGTGTGGGGTGTGGGGTGTGGGTATAGATGTACTAATTAAGATTAATTATTAAGTTGGATGACCTTTTTTGTCTTTTTGCACAATAATAAAACTTACAGCTTAATGATTTAAGTATTGGGGTGAAAAAAGAGAAGTGCAGGGTTTAAATAGAAAATCTCTTTTAAAATAATCGTGCTATACTTCACAAAATGGTTTTTACTTATAGCCTCTTTTAATTACTTTAATTAGTAATTATGTTTTCTTTAGTGAATAATTAGTATTTAAATATTTTACTAATTTTGTAAAATATTTAATAAATAGTAATTAATTTTTTTATGGACTTTGTTTTTTCTTTTTTTAAATCTTGTCAACAAAGATAACTTATATTTGGGGAAAAAAATAAAACAAAGATAACTTATACTTCTCTTGCCTATTGTAATTTGATTTATATTGAGACAAATTAAAATTCTATCACAATCTTTCATAAAATTGGTGTGATTGTAAAATTGTGATAGTGAATTACATATTATTTTTTAATAAAATTTTGCAATTATATTTATTAAAATTAGTTAAAATCTACTTTACAATGCTGTTAAGTTAACTTTTTAAATATTAATATACTTTTAATTAAGGGTATATTCGTCCGGCTGTACACTTTAAATATATACGAATATTTTTAGTGTATAGCCGCCCGGCTATACACTTTGAATGTATCCGAATATTTTGAAAGTATAGCCGGGCGGCTATACTTCACAAAATGGTTTTTACTTATAGCCTTTTTTAATTACTCTAATTACTTTAATTAGTATTTATGTTTTAATTATTATTTCTTTAGTGAATAATTAGTATTTAAATAATTTCATAATTTCATATATTACTTAGTAAATAGTAATGAATTATTTTTATTTATTTTGTGGACTTTGTTTTTTATTTTTTATTTATACAAAATTAGTTTGTTTAGTTTAGTATTTTCAATTAAGTAATATCTTAGCCTAATTTAATTATATTACTTATTAATTATTTAATGAGTAATTAGTATTTAAGTATTTTAATTAATTTCATAAATTACTTAATAAAGTCTCGATTTAATTTATTTTTTCAATTTTTTTTAATTAAGAGTTTAACCTGCGAGCTAGACGAAGCAATACAATTATTTTTTCTTTAGCATTTTGACAATTTCTTTCTTCTGATACGAAATTTTGATAATTTGGAAATTCCGAATCGTAATATAATTTGCGGGAGTTTTTGGAGCCAAATTGAAGCCGCCCTTAGCAAATTTGAAATTTACGTTTACCGGGCCGGGCCTTCATTTAAAAATGAGTATTTATTGCGTAATTCGCCGCCCGCCTGATTTCAAAGTCGAAGCGATTTCCTTTCCATTTTAGTCTTTACTGAAGAAGAAAGAAACCAAGAGACAGAGGTAGCGACTCTCGACTGATACATCTGGTAAGTGGTAAATTAATTCCTCCTTTTTTTTTTATGAATACAATGTCCTGAAACCTGAATTGAACAGATTTTCTTCCTTTCTGAAACTTGAATTCATCTGGGTTATTGACTTTATCCGTACGGTCAAGCATGGTCATATATAAAGTTCATGAAATCTTACTGGGGACCAGTAAGAACCCTTTTCAGATTTAATCTAAATTTTGTTATCTATGGATGCGAATTCATTTGTTAGATGGAAATTGGATAAAGGAATTTCCTATATATTGCAGTAGCTGGTTAGCTTCTCATGTACTAATGTCAATATTGTGCTTGTGGTGGTGTTTTTCATTTTTATTTTATTTTGCAGAAAAGGTGGAATTGTTTGGCAAAAAGGGTTGCAGAAGCATTGTAGTTTGGGTGTGGCTGAGACCTGAGAGTTGCTGAGTGTGATTACAACTTGCCATGCCAATGGTACTTCAGAGCACTATCCCATTCCCGGATTCAGTTGAAGTGGGTAAAAACCACCTTTGCATTTCTGCACTTCAAAGTTATGGGATCAAAATTGTTTCCCTTCACAAACCTTGTTCAGCTCAAGTTTTGGGAACTGATAGTCTTGGTGGAGATATCCAGTCGTGTAAGCTGTGTGGTCATTCAGAAAATATAGCCAATATGCTACTTTGCGATCGTTGTGAAGAGGCGTTTCATGTATCTTGCTGCAAACCCAGGGTGGTTCTGCCAATTGACGAGTGGTTTTGTCCTTCTTGTTTGAAAATGTCACAGAATAATTCTTTCATTAAATCACCTAGCATCGGTTCGGGGATTGGCTCGTGTAAATTTGAATTGGGTCCAATAGCAGTTATGCTAAAGTACCCAGAGCCATATACGTCTAAGGTTCGGCTCGGTGAAGCATTTCAAGCTCAAGTTCCCGAGTGGTGTGATCAAATTAATGTGTATGTCTTTATTCAATTTGGTTTTTTTATATACAAACTTCTGATTTTGAAGAAGTCACTAAGTAAGTTTATCCAGACATTATGACACTCTTAATTTTGGATGATAGATCCACCATCTGAAGTCCTAACTCATGACTGGGATAGTTCATCTGTTGTTGTAGCTTGTAACTAGTTCTAATGTTACAGGGCTCCATTGTCTGAAGTCCAAACTGATGACCCGGATTGTTCTTCTCATTCCGATTGTGCTGATCCTCAGGTAATATAATCTTGCATGCTTGCATACTTTCTCTATCAAAGAATTGCCCCAAACCGTTACTTTGTTGCTCCAGTAATTGCACTTGATAAGTACATCTTGCATGTCAATGGAATAAGATGCCAGGATAATATAGGTCAAACCAGAACATTCAAAATCGTTGTATAGTTTCATTTCTTCTAAATGGGAGTTGAACCAAACGAAGATGGTTTATTAGCAATCAGGAAATCATAAAGCAATAGCTTGCTTGCATTGTTTGGTTTGAACAAGACAGATATATACTCTAGATGATCTTGCATCTTCAAGTAGTGACTTGGCATTTTACCTGGTTTTAATCACATCAAATCAAATGCATACGTTCTACTTTGTTTCTGTGGATACAAACAGCTCAGGCAATTGTGGCTCGTACCGTTGCTTATTTATTTTGTACTTGGCTTGCCTTGTTTCCATTGATGTGCATGTGCAGATGAGATCATCCGGCACTGGCATTGCCTGTAGAAAGAGAAAACAAGAGTTCTCATCATGAATGGTGGCAAACCCCTAAAATAATTTCAAGTGAGTCATGTATGAATAAATATTTCATTCCTGCGAATTCTTTCATTTAGACTGTTTCGCAAATTTTCCCTTGTTTGTCCAGTTCTGACACGCTCTCTTATCTTCTACCGATCAGTCAGACCGATAACTTAAGCAGAAAGGAATATTGACACCCTTGGTTTTGTTGCAAACTACCAACTGGTAAAGTAATTTTGGGATCACAAGTGAAAACCTTTTGCATCTGAGTTTTGTGGCTAGCTAGCTAGTTGGTACGGTAGGGCCCTTTTAACCTTTACGATGATGTGGGGGGAGGGAGACAGTGGGCTTCATCGTCTTGATTCTCGTTTAAATTATTTCATTGGTGGTTGTGGGCTGGGTCATAATTGTGTGTGTGTGTGATATTTGTAAGTTTGATGATGTGAGTGAGTGCGTGTGTGGTTGGACTTGACACCACTAAAACTGCCTGCACATCATGTTACAAAGCACAACTGTGGGTCAAAGGGGTCATCCTTGTAAGGTCCACAGCCACAAACAATTCATCTTGAAAACACAGACGTGGAGAATTGCGTGTGTCCGGACAGGACAGGAGGAGGAGAAGGCACCCGCATCTTCGCTTCTTCGCTTCCAACAGTCAGTCACCTTCAATAATTGCTTTTGTTTCTCGCTTGCTTGCTTTATAAAATTGTAGTTGCTTTCAAGCGAGCCAAAACCATATTGGTACAAGACAACTGGCTGGCTAACATCCAATCCCATCTTTCTCTGGGGGAGGGGGTCCATAATCCATTCATTGCTTCCGTTTTGTTGTATTAAACGATAAACTTTACCGTTTTCAAACATTTTGCAAAACTCAAATATGAATCAGATTTCAAGTATTCAACTTTGTTATTCCAATCACGTTAGACTGGTTACTCCACATCTATCAAGGGTTGCAAATAACATCAAACCTAATAAACACAAAGTATATAACCCTAACAAGGTTTAGTCTTGCTGCA